CGTATGGAGCCGAAATATGGCGATCTGAGTACCGGACTACCACGAGGGGTGCCAACGCGATCTTAACACGATCTGGGATTGGTCAGTTTAGAATACCCTATCATTTAATGTGGTAGGTTGCTGCACTGTTCACTTGCGCAGTGGGCATGATTAGATGAATGTGCTTGGGTCACACATAAGACAAACTACTTCTCAGGGACGCGACCTTGTTGTGCTCATAAAAGGGAGCTCAACTGTACAAAACAGGCTTAGGCAGTTGCAAAATTAAGCAATCTGCACGTCAGCCTGATGCAGAGGGCATTCGGGAGTTTTGAGCCATCAATATTCCCGATGATGTACAAAGCTTGCGTGCGCCCTCACGTTGGATACGCTAACCATGCCTGGCAATAATAGTTGAAGCGCGACCTCAAGGTGTTAGAGCCACCACAACGCAGGGCAACAAGAACCGTCAAGTGTTTACGCAGTCTGTTTTCCCAGCGAAGACTGAAGTCACTGGGAGTTTTTGGTGGACGCTAGTGCAGGCTACACGGGCAGTTCGTATTAGTGAACCAAGTATTGAGTGACACCGGTCGCGGATGTCGCCATTTGCTGAGACTCAGTCACAATACCAGCCTCACAGGTAACTGCTTTAAACTGGGTGGACAATACCGCCTTACAGAATGCCGACGAAATTACTTTTCTCTTCAGATTTGCCAAGCTTGAAAGTCTCTCATACACAGTTGTATTCACCCCTATATTAGATACTTTTAAAAACGATTGGATGTTGCCTTTAGCTCCCAGCACTTCGTTACCAAGCTTTGCTACTGTGGTATATTTTAACTTGCTTTTATGCCGAATTTGTGTGTCCCATGGACCCACGAATGTGGTGCTTCAATGTGCAATTTCGTTTTTGTTTTCTCATAGGATGCATCAGCCATAACTGCCCCGCGTGTTGTTTGTTTGTCTGCATTGAATTCGTCCCTTATACTATCGTTATTCAGCAACTCCTTTAGGTTGGTAGACGCTTAAGTAGATGACTTACATATTGTTGATTTTATAGTTAACCTCCACAATATCTTGTGGGTCTTTTCGGGTACCCACTTTGATAAATCATTCTTCATTGTTCACTGTGCGACCAGCGAAATGCTCCAGCTTCGTATCTTTGCCGTAAATGATTTAGCCAAAGACTTAGCCAAAGACTTAGACGTTTAATTAACAGGTACCACATGAAAACGTTTTTGAAACATATATTTGCAGAGGCGTGAAATTCCCAGTGAACCGCAAGAGCCTATGTCATGGTTTGAAATCATCCGCATTCCGCTGGACTACGATGTCTAGAGAAACACAGCACAGGATAACCATCTTGTTCTAGTAACTCCCCCCCCCCAAGTCAGTGGCTGATACATCAGTGATAACAAGTGCTAATACTCTAGGCGACAATGATCGTTAAACTGCTTCCGTTGATAGAGGTTGGAGTAATTACGTAATATATTCCAGAGAAGAATGACCGAACCAACGTCTGCAAGCAGTAGTTCGGATGGAGGTTCTGCCTTTGCCACAAAATTAGGAATGCATTTGGAATTGTATTAGACACCTCCTTAAAGAAGGAAGTTCTTCGAAGCTCTTGGGAGTATAAGGGTTGAACAGATGCAGGAAATGAGCATGATCCTGAGAAAATCCCTTCCACCGAAGACATGGCCAAGGAAAGAAAATTTGGATGTGTTGAAAATACACTTTGACAAGTTGATGACTACATTAAACACGAAATACCTACCCTATAGTTCACAAAGTCGCTCGGCATGAAGCGCTTTTGTAGCAGCGTGAACAGCGGCTTTGTCCCGGTGGACCACAATACCACCTAGGTACCCAGTAATGGAGTTAATAATATCTTGGAAACTTGATGGTAATACAATGAGACCAAACGATAAAACGTCGTAACGAAATAAACCGAATGGTGTATCTGTAGTGGTAATAGCAATCGATTGTTCGTCAAGAGCTATCTGCGAATAAGCATTTTTCCAAACACTTAGATCCGCTCAATTGCTAAAGAACATAGTCTCTTCAGGATTACGTCAGATTTGTGATAAATACTTGTTCAGTGTGACAAGATGGTCGCCATAAACCCTAGGCGTTTTAACGTTAACTTGAGTGGAGTATCCAGCGGTTACCTGACTGAACTCTGGGTCGGGATAATAATAATAATATGTCAGCAATATCACTAAAGGATTTCCTCACATGTTCCCGAAGCCTGGGAGAAATTCTTTGTCTTTTACCGAGCACGAGACTCACTTGGATGTCAAGTGTGATGGGCTTGTTAAAGATGGCACACGCTTACAGCAGGTGAGCGAAGCGTTGTATGAAATGGGTCAGAAAATAGTGACAATGAAGTGTCCAGAGTTTTCATGTAGCTTAGGCGTTTGATACAAGGGCCAGAACACATAAGAAAAAAGCATTTGACTACATTTGAAGTGCCCACTGAGAGAACTAATTCACGTGAGGCAAGGGTGGAAAGTGCATATCCAGTTATCACTAACAGAAGTAGTAGTCGGTCTCTTTGGAAGTTTGATATTAGGCTCTCAAAATACAACTTCGGAATACAAGTCTCAATATTACCGATGTCCATAATAAATGAATGCTGAGGCCCATTGTTGACACCAAATCTCGGTGTCATGTTAGAAGAATTGTCACAAAAACGTAGCAAGTGCTAGTGAATGCAATTTGAATGATAGCGTCTGTTCACCAGTCGCATCGTGGATTAAACCACCTTTTGAATTTCGACAGATAAACTGAAGAGATGCATTACATTTTTATTATGAAATTTGTAGGTCAGTCGAGAATGTATATCGCCACATAACTTGCACTTGTTGCAACGTCTTCCATTGGAAAGCACCTTCGTCATTGCTCTCGTTACATGTAGTTGGCGTCTTTAATTTCCTTCGTTCCTTTTAACTAGATTTCACACCGCTGATGAAGTCCTATGACAGTGAAGATTCATTCCTTACGACTGCTTTCACATATTGGTATTTGTTCACAGACTGTTCTAATAGAATGAAGCGTAGGCTCCAGTAGAAGTAATAGCTTTGCTGTAGGTTAAGCAAGTGGATTTCAGTGATTAAAAATTCATGAAGCTGAGCCTGCAATTGGTCACCAAATTTGCAGCGTGTAGCTTGCGTTTGGAGTTAGGCGATGACAGTGTGTGCATCACAATCAAATTTTTGCGCGCAATGATTTGAAATTGAGCTCTTGCTGCTGTTTCGAAATTTGCTGGTTAAAAGTGTTTCGTAAATAGTGCTTTCAGTACATCATACACTAATGAAAGCTGCGAGTAGGTAAAGTCCAACTTCCTCACAAGACTAAGCTTCCTGCTCAACAGTATTGATGAAATGAGCTATTTTGTTATCTAAATTCAAAGCTTTTCCGGTAATGCCACAAACCTCAAAGTGTCCCATGTAGTCGTAGATATCGCGAGAGCTAAAATGCATAATTAACTTACTCCGTTTGTTCATATCCATAGTCAAATCTGATCGCGACGCCAATTGCCATAATGTATAAACGAGTGGGAATAAGAATCGACTTTGCTCAGTCTGGTCGGAATCGGAATAGACTTAGCTCAAACCTTGAGCTAGCGGAAGTAATAGCGCATAGTGCGAGCACCCAGAAACCGTGTTAGGCCAATTCGCAATCTTACCAAGTATATGGGTACAGTTAACCAAGAACAAGAAATACCGTTCAGCAGAAATAACCACAAGTTCTTTGACCAACCAGTACGACTACGCCACAACTAAACCGTTGTCTCTATGGATTCCTTTTGCTCATGTTTCCGACGTTTAATTTCTATTCACTTAAAAATATATGAAAACGTTAGTTCTCTGGATAGCCATTGCACTTTTCGTATGATGCAAAATAGATGGACCGGTTAATTGTATTCCTGTAATACGTAGGAATATCACTTTAACACCTATTGGCTAATATCCTCAATAAACTAGGCAGCAACTATTAAAGGGTGTGAAAAACACACTAGCCTTTCCCAACTCTACCACTATACCTAGATTTCAGTGCGCTGTTCTAGTCGACGAGTGTGCTTGTGTTTTATGGAAAGCAACATCACTTAACCTCAAGTGATGATGTATTTGATGTCAGCCCGTTGGTGGTGGAAACCAGTGTGTATCTCAAAAGATTTGCATTCCGATTGCAAAGAAGTGTTTGCCTCAATGTTAATGAGGTTTCGCCTGCCACTCTGTGTGGAAAAGAAAAACTATATATAAAAGCTGCTTGTTGGGAAGTCGGGTGATGTAACTAGCACAGACTTTGGTTTTGATTATCAGCCTTGTTGGTTCTGAAGGAGACATCTGTTTGACAGGAAAATTTTTGTGTCTACCAGTGTAATTAAATTCGACATTTTTTATTCATCTGATTTAAACTGTTGTTGTAACTCCCCGAAATTTCACTTGGTGGTCTATTCAGACTCCATTTGCGTCTAGCACTGTCTCACCTGCTGTCCTGCAGGGCATCTCAGCGCAACTCTATGGTGGCAAAAAGTACTATCAGTACTGGTTTTTAGCCCAAAATCATTAATTAATATTTTGGAAACTGAGTTACTTGTGCCAAACGGTCGGAGTCCTGTGAATCTACTGGAACAAGCGGCAGTTTGTGCGGTATGTGAAGTGAGAGTCGGGGCACACAATTCAACATCCAAATGAAGCACATTTGCATACATAATAAGTAGGTAACTATGGCAACAACCGACACATATATACCAAGCGATAGCATCCATTCCATGAGATGGAGGTATCAGAATACTGGTCGGTAAACAATTGTTTCTTGTGAATCAATTCGCTCAGCGCACCTGCACATTTACTCGAGAAACTCCGAAAAATATTAAGCATTTAGAAGGCCACGCGTTGGTATTACCAAAAGTTAATTCTATGTTGTTGATCTGCTTATCTTTAAAAGGGGGAGAGAAAGGTTCATGTTTACGTCGTAAATAAGCATCAGTTCTCCTCTTCCTTTTATGACACTAGAATCTTTCTCTCCCATAGTGGTTCCTCCGGAAAGTGGGCAAAGCAAAGTGGAAAATTTGCTTGCCAGCTTAACAATAACTGATGAAAAGTTTGATCAAAGGCTCCCAACCTTTGCAACTCCATCCGTACGAGGTAAGGAACCAGACAGCAAAACCGCCCAACCCGTATTGCAACAGCCGTCCTTCGGTCAACAGCCCTTTCAACAGCAGTTCCAACAACTACCCTCGACAATCTTCCCTATTTTAGTCCCAGCGCCTAACATGCAACATGTGCAGGCACCATATGTGTTACTGGCGCAACACAACCAAGTTCCCGAGACGCTACAAGGGCGGTTAACGGGGCCCCCTCATCCTGAAGGTTATGCCTCATCCCCGTACCCACAACAGGAGTCAGTTCTCGGAATATTCGCCAATCAGTCAGCTAGCATTAATCCAGCACATTTCCTCAATCAACCACAAAACACACAACGGCCTGCAAACCTTGAAACATCACAATCTCTAGCCCCAAGCCCGGCGATTATACAGCCTCAAATAGCCATCGTGGCTACCGATCCAGCAGCGCTGAGTGCTCTGTTGTCGGGTGGCTTATTTGCACAGTCGTTTTTACAACCAGTAGTTTGGGCTTCACAACAGCCTTTTGGAATCCCTGACTATCAAGTTTCGGACACATCTACTGCAGTCAATTCAAGCACAAACAGCTTGCCTCGTGGGCAGATTGGTTGGGCTTCCACTCCGATAGCACCCTATGACAAACCAATGTTGGCGCGGCAATCGCATACTCCTGTTGTACCTTCAGCGATGGAGAATAGGCCCCACTCCGATGAATCGACGACTCGGCATTCGCCACCAATCTTCAGTCCAATCACAACGAATAGACCAAGTTCATACTCTAAGCCACTAACAGACTTCACTCCAAGTGGATTGGAAGGCACACAAGTCCGTGAAAATCAATTAAAACCCGATGTGATAATTCAGGCTAAACACTCAACCACTCGACAAAAAGGTACAGTGATGAAAAGCTTGACAGATAATGATAACAACAGAGAGTCGAAAGCGATGGTGACTCCACCGGAAGGCTTCATGTCCACAACGCGGCCTGATCTTTTGAAAGGTAGTGTTTTTGCTGCGGAGGCGAAGCACGTTGCCCTACCAACCGTACCAACATACCGGGAACCGAAGAAACTCAACCCTAGAGAACTTTTTGGACAATTACTAAAATCCTCGGAAAGCGGAACTGGGAAAACCGGGAGGGAACAGAAAGATGTCCCAACAGCTGCGGGTTCAGACAGGCACCCAAGGTGTAGAGATCCTAACTCAATCAGTGCATATTACGAAAGGATGAAACTGAGGATCGCTGGAAAGTCAATCGCGGAAAAGGAGCACCACACTGCTGCAAAGTCAGCCACTGCAAGGCCGTTTCCATCTGGCCCCAGACCAATAGCATCAGGTACACCAAGAGCGGATCCAAACTACACATCAGCTTGTTCAAAAGACTTAAACAATAACCTCATGGTGGCTAGTCGTGACCAACTACGTTCCTCCGTACACCTACTTGACGATACCACGAGTCAAGGGAACGTGACGAAAGACCCATCTGTTATGACGGTAGCAGAGCGCGCAAGGCGGTGGATAGAGAAGCGGGAGAAAGATATTAGTGGGAGTAAAAGATACTCCACGTGTGGCTTTATTGATCAGGATCTGATTGACTGTGGCGAACTTGTACCAGTCGAGGATAGAGTAAGAATGTTTGACAGTTGTAATGCTACCGGAGGGGAATCGGAGGAAATGCTCGACGACAAACCTCATAGGAGTCCAAAGGTTTGCGAAAGAGTTGCTTCCGTTGTTTCTTCAACTGTTTGTGGTGCACGGAAAACAGCCGCAGTTCAGAGAGCTTCAGGGTATTTTGGGGCTCCATTACCATATCGTCCCGCTACTACCGCGAACAAAACCTCGATGGACTGGCCGTGTACAAGAGCTCTGACTTCAGAATCAAACAGCAGTAAGGTTAACTACGCTTCGGGACTAACTTCAGACACGCTTGGTGGGAGCACTCACTCCCGGCAGTCAGAAGGGGATGAACTAACTCGGTGAGTTTCCAGTTCCTTAGTCAAAGTAAAAAAGTGATGCCAATTGGTAATTTATTTGCCTACTTTAGTTAATCTAGTAGTACGCTAGATATTGTACATACTTAATGGAGTAGGATGGCTATCGTCGTTGACACGTTATATCATTGGCATTGGTGTTGTATTACAAGGCATATTGCCACTGCGTTAACAGGTATGTTTTAAGCACTGGTCATTAACCTAGCTGTACCTGATACTGTTTACCACAACCTTAACCTGAAATGAGCGAGAACATATGGGCTACACTACAAAAGATGTTTAGTAGAGTGTGTTGCACACGGAACCCTGAGCAGATAGGATCCGTGGTATGTAAGCGACTTGTGAGACGGTCTAAAGGATACTCCAAACCGGAACTACCGTGGTAGATTCTGATTAGGTTTACACTGATTAATGACTACAGTTATCTTCTGCTTGAACCACAACTTGTCCCTGAATAACTGTTCTACACTGTAGGGGCTGTTTTCAGTAGTTGGTATCCTCATCTACTTCTAGATTACTTTCATGGGGTTGTTCTTAAATCATTTAAATTTCCTCTATTTTAAGACTATCTTTGAGTGAAAAACGTCGATTATTCAGCAATGCGCAAGCATCCAACAGAAACCATACTATTCGCCCTGCGCATCGACGGACGACCCAACCAGTCACCCTTGATGATTTGGCGAAGGCAAACCAAATAATCTTATCCCGTTTAGAAGGATACATTCCAGGTAAGCAACCAAGGTTCATCCTTTACTCGGCACCAGCCACAACTTGGGGATTGCTGGATTTTCATATGGTGACCTTAAAATTCTATATCTGACTTCGATAAGTACGGTTCTAATTCGCGTTGGCAGGTTTGGTCAGCGTATTGTTCTAACTCTTACCATCGCCATAGTCGCAAGATGCATGCTACACATTTCAGTCTAGTGTTAAATGTTCTGTGCTGCACGCTATACGATTTGCCCTAGCTACACCAGCCATTGGAAGAACGCTTAAGATAGCCTATATTTCATTAGGCAAGAAACTGGTTGTTTTTTTCATCGGATGCGGTGCCCACGAAATTGCTTGAAAGGTATCTCCCAGTTGTGCGCTATAGAACTTGTGCTGTTTGAACATCTGAAAGTAATGAAGCATCTTGGTCTCTGGCCATCCACTTCATTTCAAATTACGACACTTTGAGTTCCCCCACAATAAAAGAGATTCATGCTGGCATTGCTTTACACGACAGAAGTGTCTGGTGCCACTAAAACTAAAAATGCTGTCTTCTATTCCGCTAGGACCCTGTCTGATTTTCCTGAAAGTTCCAGACGTATCTAGATGCTATCATCTCCGAGATAAACAAAGCTGTCGTCCTTTCAGTACCTCAATAGTTTACAGTGTCTAAATGTCTATCGATGAGTTTATGCATCATTAGCTCTGAACTCAGAACCCTTGAGGCAGGCAGGTATAAAATGCACCATTCTCCAAATCCGCCGCTTCCCACTGCTTTCATCGGCATTCCTTTGGGCACAATTGGGATTCTTTAAAATCCAGATTCTTTAAATGTGGTCTAGCGTGGCTGGCGCGTACTCACAATTATTGCGTGAGCGGAATAAGCGCTCGTTCTACATGAGATGCAAACAAGCCACTCGAGGAAATAACATGTAACTGGCGTTTAGCTAGGATGGCTACATGTTATAGCCCCAGTAAATAACATAATATTGATGTTTGCAAATGCTATCTCTCCACGTTTTATTGATGCTGTTATAGACGCCACTGTTGACCAATAGGACTGTTGGTCCGAGGCATCCGAAATATTTGAACAAATCAAAGTGTTCTTTTGGAATGCTATAGAGAGCTATCACGTGACATTTTCACTGTGGTTTTCACCGGTTAAGCTCTACTCAGTGAACTTGAGCTGCGTGTCTGCGTTTGTAGCAAAGGTAGCAGATGCAGCTATATGAGGAATTTTGTGGGTCATGGGTGGAAGAATCTAGAGTGAATATAAAATCTTTCTAAAAGGCGTGATGCACTCTCAAGTATCACAACAGTTATATAGATTACTATGATCACTAGATTGCACGGGATTGAATTCAAAAGAAATGACTTCCGCTCTCCATGTATTGACGATGAGCATTAATTTTCTATGAAATGCAGCCGATCAGATTTATCGTAAACTCTTAAGCTTTCTGCACTCTCCCGGATTTAGAAAACAGAATGACACATTTGTAGTGCGCCAGGAGTCCGTAGTTTGGGTGAAATGATAACTCAAACTGGGAAGAATCATCCGTGTAACAAACCGGCGGCTAACAACGCAGGCAGCAGATAAATGTGCGTCAAGAACAGACGCGGAAGCAGCACAAGATGAAGGCCGTGAGTAAGAGCACACCATACAACATTTAGGATGACGCTTGCAGGTTAGTGCCATGTGGCCCCAATAAACTAATTTTCGCACATCTTAGATTCTTTTAATCAGACTGGTTCTGTGTGCACTGCTGACCTATCTGCATGTTGTAAATCAGCGAACGAGAAGTCGGAGATGAAACCACCGTTCCGACTACAAAACTGTGGTTTACTTTCTCCAACTCCTGAGCAGAATGTGTGTCTTGGTAAATCAATCCGCTTAGATGCGTCATCACCTGCCACTTTTCTCGACCAGAACTGTTTCTCAATATAGTGCGGGTGCACGTGTGCTTGAGGTAGTACAATCAGCCTTCCATGCCAGTCGACGAAGACTCTATCGAGGCATCTTCTTTGTGTGCTTAAGTTTATTCCTTGCGTCTACGCAGTTGTTTGGTGCGCTGTGCGAGAATACCATCTGCATGAGTGAAGCAACTTTGTGCAGAACACTGGATGTGGAACCAGAGAAATAGCTGGCAAGTCCAACCGGGTGGTACGTCGTTGCATCCGTTTCAGAAAATAGGCTGAGTTGCTCGGACACCACGTTGATCCTTAAGACGTTAGACACATGTGCAAAAGATGTCTGAGCATTTTGTGACTCTCATCGTTCAAATATACCAGCCGCCATTCGACGTTTAAAAAGCATGGCCACCTACTATCGCTTATTCTTACCATGCAGCGTATAGCTAGCGCAACAGCGCACGGATCTTCTGTGTAGACCCAACAACAACACACTTATTTGCACGGTTGCAGCGGAGATAGACTTCAAAGTTATCAACGAAGCAATAAATGCAACCAGCACGCTTCATCACTTCGATTAAAAGACTGATCAGTTTAGCGCTTTTCGTCTCGGAAAAGCAGTTGACATTATCCTACTGCAGTTTTCCAAAGATAACTGTCTACCGTCTGACATCTTCAGACGACTGAGGTGAAGTATAACTCATTTGGCACCCAGTTATCCGCTGTATACTCATTGTTCTTATGAGGAAATTGCCTACACTTCATCCTGTTCACAGTGTGATGGGTAACATCTTATTGGTTCATCTCAACCATATTTAACAGGATATAAGTGGGCGATCAGAAGTTCTAGGAGATCCCAGTTAGAGACCGAAAATATTCTCAGGCTCTCAACAAATATCAAGTCTAGCATTGATTCTCATCCCAGGATTCATAGTGAAATTGGGGTTAAATCTTTTATAACTGCCAGTAAAAGCATAAGGAACAGTTCAGATATACAAGGATAGCGACTGAATTTATAGTGAAAGTCATCTACTTCAAAGCTGGAGCAGCTTAGAGAACTAGAAAGTCTGTCCAATAGAGTCAACGATATCCGCCCAAGCACTTTGATTCTCATTTTATTATTAAATAGCTGATGCATTGTTTGGCACAGTGAAAAATGCCTCTTACTAACGTGAATGATAAAGATCAGAAGAAGTTGTCAGCTCCGCCAACGCGGTTTTACGACGATTAATAAATCTGTCGCATCCACAACGTCGTCGTGGAGACAGGTTTCTTATAGCATAATGACACTTGCTGTGGAAGATTTTCTACCGTTTATGATACGAAGCCTTTTTACTTTTTCCGGAAGCGATCGGATACTGGCACGAAGTAGTGTGAGAGTGCACATGCTTCCTAGCTTCCCCCTAAAGTGCAGCCCTACATCCTGTACAATGACTACGGAAAGTTCCTCCATTTCGGACGGCTGTTTCATTGAAATAGCCTATATGGAGTTTGCTGCCAAGTTCAGTGATCTGACTAAATCCCCATAGGTAAACAGGTCCCTCCGAAGTATACGAGCAAAATCAGTCATATGAAGCAGCAACCGAAAGCACTTGACAATATGAAAAGCTGCTGGGTATATTTAGAGAGCAAAATCTAGCCCTGACAAAAGGTGCAAATATTTAGTGCATCGAAATCACTGCACCACACTTGTACGTGAGGACAAGTCAGTACACTAACAACGCCTATCTGCAATGTTTTGTGACAACATTGTTGGCGGCATCCGGTTTTGGGTACGCCTGTCACTGTGGCCAGCCACAGGACGAAAGCGCCTACGGAGGTACCATGGGTGGCTTGCGCTGCACCACCCACAACTCCATCCACACACCTCATATACAGTGTAGACCTGAAGGCGTAAGACCAGGAGGTATGTGGATGGGAGCCACGTTTTATCAACGGAGCCGGCCCACACTCCTTCACAGGCAAACGCAAACACGTTTTATTTCGGAATCAATCGCACACAAGCTGGTGGCTGGACCGCAGTCCGCTGCACACTGAGTGGATGGAACCACTCTTTGATCCTGATACGGCCACAAGGACCGTGCACCCCGTCCCCTCCTGCATCGACCAACTGTCTCCTGGAGCCAGTATGGACGAGGACGTGGGTAATGGACAGATAGGCACCTTGCCAATATGGACACTAAGCACAGCCACACCGGGGATATCAAGCAACAGCTAATCCCTTTAAACGACGATATCAACTAACATAAGCCGAATAATGGCGATTATACTGTTCGCTGAGCTTGGCAAGTTTATTGGAAACGTCTCGGCACCAATCTAGTCGGCCTCATCAGTACGCAGTTGAGTGGCGTGCAGTAGTGTAGAGCAACGTAGAGGAGGCTCAGTCAGAGTGTGCTGAGCTTCGTGTGCTTGTGTTGTAATTGAGGGGAGGCCTCTCGATATAATTACGTAATTGCCTGATAAGATTGTCGCTGGCACGGTTGGAGCACGCCTACGATGACGACTTTTAACATGGCCACTCGAACGGAGTTGCGCTGACCTGATGACGCTAGCTTAGCCGGTGAGACGGAAAATTGAGCGAGCGTGTGAACGATCCTAGCCGCAGGTGTTCGGATAGATGCCGAGCCCTCGGAACGGACACACACGAGAGGGGGTTAGGTAGACGCGCGCTAATGAATTAGACGCGAAGGCTGGCCAGCTAACGACTCACACGCAATCACGCGACCCGACCGACTCCCAACTGAGGCGAAGAGAAAGAAAGGGCAAGTGGTCCTCTGTAGGCTCTTTTACGACCAACAAAGGGCGATCACAGTTAATGCTATGGGTTATTAGATTAGGGAAAATAGTCACCACGAAGAGGTGGTAGTTTGCAAATGACCATTGCCAAAAGGTGCGCAGTTTGGGCCGCGTCTCGGAGTGGCTGAGTTCTGCTACGTTGTGGGGAGGAATTGGACCCCGCTTCTCACAGCCATTCTGCCGGGGTTGCTGGTGCGTTTTTGCGGAGATTTTTGGCGGGCCCGCAACACCTCCCTTTGAAGAGAAAACGTACCGCTTCTGACGAGGATTGACCTGGAGGGATTTCGGCGACCTCCGGATTCTTCCTGTTCGT